TTAACTCCCCAATCTTTAAGTCTGGGCTGCACACAGTGACTTCTTTTCAAAGAGAACAGTATGCAAGAGGGGAAAAAGGAGTCACTTTACAATGGATGAAACTTGGCAAGCTTTACCTTTGTCAAGATAGTCAAGGTCAGCATCAATAGTGATGTCACGATGAGAGCATGCGCCCTCAAATGATGGGATGAAAATGGCACTTTACCTCTGTCATCCTGCTCCCCAAAACCCAAAATCCAAGTCTCATCATGAGAGAAACATCAGGCAAATCCCAGTTGAGGAACATTCTTCAAAACACCTGACCAGTACCCCTCACGAATGTCAACGAAAACAAGGAAAGTCTGAGTAGCTGTCACAGCCTAGAGGAGCCTAAGGAGGTGTGTAGGGTGGGATCTGGGAACAGAAAAGGACATCAGGCAAAAACTAAGGACGTCCGAAGAAAGTATGGACTTGAGTTCATAAGAATGTATCCTTATCAGTTCATTAATTGTAATGGATAAGATGTTGATAAAAGGTGAAACTAGGTGTGGAGTCTGTGGGACTCTACTACCTGCCCAATGTTTCTGTAAATGAAAAACTTTTATAAAATACAAAGTTTATTTTATTTAAAGTGCTGCCACTCCTGAGCTCATGTTCGTTCTTGTTACCACAGCTCCTATCAGACACTCAGGCATGTCCAGACATCATTTCCGCAGAGGCTGGCCAGGTCTGTGTGTGAGAAATGTTAGGTCCCAAACAAAAACACTGCTCCCACTGCTGACTCTATGAAAGCAGAACTGAAAAGTGATTGGGCTCTGTTTGGAGTCCCGGTTCATGGGGGCTGACTCCACATCCATTCCTGAGATATTCACTGAGCATGGCCTGTGTGCCAAGCACAGCTCTAGGTACTGGGGACTGGGATGAGTGCAGCATGCGTGCTCCTGCCCATGCCATGTGCGGTCAAGTGGAGGAGAGGCATTAAACAAGGAAATGCCAAAATTTCTGTCTATCATGAGAAATACAGAGAGAGGAAAGTGCAGATATTGGCAGAGGAGGAGGCATAAGGATCAGGGACGTCCTCTCTGAGGAAAGAGAATGACGCTGAGGCTACAGAGTTTGCTGGCCATTGGGAGGTCCCCATGAGCTCTCCTAGCTGACTCCAGCGGGCTGCTCTCGGACATCACCCTGCTGGACTCTCAGCAAGCTCAGGCACAATGCATCACTCCATTCCTCAACAAAAACTCTCTTTACTTGGCTCCCTGAATGCCAGACTCAGCTGACTTTCCTCCTGTGTCACTGATTGCTCCTTCTCAGTCTTCTCTTCCCACCCTCTAACCATTCCAGCACCCGGGCCCTGCTCTCAGGACTGCCCTGCCTGTGCTGACCTTCCCCTGAGCCCACACTCATATGCCCACATGCCTGCACAGTCTCCCTGGAGGCCTCGGTGCATCTCCAAGTCTCACTCCAACCTGCTCCTTCCCCAGCACTCCCCATCTCGGTAAGCAGCACCGTCATCCCCCCAGCACTCAGGCCACAATCCTTGGGGTCGCCCTGGACTCCTCGTCCTCTCATACTCCACATCCAACCAGACAGCAAATCCTGTCTACTCTCCAGAATGTGTCATGAATTAGCCCACCTCTCACCACTTCCACTCTAGGCCAAGTCACCAGTGTCTCGTCCTGGATTCCTGCTGGGCATCCTCAGCTGCCTCCCTGGCTCCAGCCTGGATGCCAAGCAGTGGGTTCAACACACGCCAAAAGTGTGGTCCTTCAAATCAATGTCACACTATCCTCCTCTGCTGCTCACAATCCTCTGTCAACACCCCCATCCCACTGAGAATAAAATCCATGTCCTTGGCCAGGCACGGCAGCTCACACCTGTAATCCCAGCACTTTGGGAGGTGGAGGAGGGCAGATCACGAGGTCAGGAGTTCAAGACCAGCCTGGCCAACATGGTGAAACCCCATCTCAAGTAAAAATACAAAAATTAGCCAGGTGCAGTGGCACGTGCCTGTAGTCCCAGGTACTAGGGAGGCTGAGGCAGGAGAATTGCTTGAACCCAGGAGGCGGAGCTTGTAGTGAGCTGAGATTGAACCACTGCACTCCAGCCTGGGTGACAGGTAGAGGCTCCATCTCAAAAAAAAAAAAAAAAAAAAAAAATTCCATGTCCTTACCTTGGCTTTCCAGGACCAACAAGATATGACCCCAGGCCACTCTCCCACCTCAGCTCTCCCTGTTCCAAGACCCCGCCACAGTCAGGCCCAGGCCGCTCTCCCACCTCAGCTATCTCAGTTCCCTGACCCTAATATGGGAAGACCCAGGCCACTCTCCCACCTCAGTTCAAGGTCCCCTTCATCACTGACTGCAGCCATGGGGGCCTTGTGACTGTTTCTGCAGCACTTCAGCCCAGCCTCAGCTGAAGGCGTCTGCGCATGCCCTTTCCTCTGCCTGGAAGGCTCTTCCTGCTCACTGAAATGGTTCTCACACTCAGCTCAGGCCTAAAACGCTCCCCCTCCAAAGAGGCTTTCCCTGAGTATCCATGGAAAAGAGCTGCCCTCCTGTCTCCCTCTGCTTGCTTCATCTCCACCCACTGGCACCACCTGACCTTCTCTTCCTACTTGGGCATTTGTTCATTTCCAGTGTCCTCCTGAAATGCAAGCTCCATGAGAGCTGGGTATTTGTCCCGTTCACTTCTGTATCCCTAGCAGCAAGAACAATAGTAAGCTCCCGACAACAGGCTTCAGTTTGGGGACTGCCTAGTAGTTGAAAGCATGGATGCTGGAGCCGGACTACCTGGCTTCTAATCCTAACTGTGCCACTTCCTAGATTCAGGATGCTGCACAAATTGCCAAGAGATGTTTCAATTTCCTCATCTGTAAAATGGAGGTAATTATAGTATATAATAGAGATGGTGGCATGTTAAATTAGTAACTGGATGTAAGCACCTTAGAATGGTGTCTGGCTCATAATAAAAATGCTAAATAATTTTAGCTGTTTGTAGAATTGTAGACTATAAATACTATTGATTTAAACCAAAACTGTCACATATCTATAGTAGTTGGATGGAGGGTAAAGGAGGGAAGACATGTGAGACAGGAAAATCCTCATTTATCGTTATGAAAAGTCAATAGTTAATGCCTAAAATTGAACTGAAGACAGTAACATCAGCACATTATTGAGAAACTTGGAGGTAAAGGCCATAGTTGAAAGTGACTGTCATTGGAGAGTCGATCTAGATGTAGAGAAGGGAGGGCAAGGGATTGCTGTTTTGCACCATTTTTCCTTCTTAAAAATGTACAACTACTGCACAATGCAAATAAAATAAGGAAGGAAAAACTGCTTCATATGTACAATTAAACTATATACCTTTTGTGGCAAGTATGTGGTCTTATTGCACCCTAATTCCAAAGTGGAGGTAGGGGGAAAGGTTTTCCAGAAAGGGCTATCACGGGGAAAAGGTACAGGGTGGGTGTAGGCTCCTGGGCATGGGCTGAGGAAGGAAATTTCCCCTGAGCCCTGAGCTGCAGCCTGAGGACTTGCCTGCTGCTGAAGATTGAATCTGGAGGGTAAGGGTAAAGCAGTCAGGGCCCCAAGAAGGAACCACGGAGCCTGGGGCTCCAGACATTGGTGGGAATAAAAACAATGACAACAGCAACAGCTTGATGGAGAAAGGGAACACAACTGTCCAAACTTCACAAATGTGCTTGGGGCTCCGCCGTGCCTAAAGCTGAGTGTCAGACAACCAACGCTCTGACAAGTCAGGCACTGATTTCACTAATTTGCTTTTCCTCCTGAAACTGTGTTGCTTTCCTATAGGAAATCCTGCCCTTGCCCTCATCCTGAGAGATGGCCTTTGCTGGAACTGTTTTCCCTCCCAGATGTGTATAAAGAACGAATCACTTTGTTTTACATGAGTTTGTTCTCATTTGTTCATGGCAACTGGAAAGGTGTATGGTATCTGCATGGGGTGGAATGGAGTTTGGTCTTTACCCCATGTCACAGTCAGCAGAGAAGATGAGGTGCATCCACAGAGATGGGGATTAATTAGCTAAATGGAATTAAGCTACAAAATTGTCTTAATTGTTTCCTTTGACTTCACACTGACTGAGCATTGTAAAAGATTCAAATAACATAAAATATTACATTATATAAACTAAAAAGAAGCAAACCTTGAGGAATTTCTCACCTCTGTGTGAGCCACTGTTAGTAATCTGTCTTGTAGTATAGATTTTATTCTGTGCTTATCTATCTACCTATCTATAAGCTTTTACAAAAATTAAATCATACTATGCAGTGCTTTTCAGTTTTTTCCAATAACAAATATCTTGGACATGGTAACTCGATGATGCATCTGGGATTACTCATATAGCTAAACAATGACATTCTTTCAGGAGAAAGAGAACCCAGATACTAGTGGGGGCGGGGAGATATCTGAGCCTCGACAGAGAAGTACAACCAGCCTATTCCTGTCTCTTCCCCCTCCTCCTCCTCCTTCTGCTCCTCCTCCTCTTCTTCTTCCTCATCTTTCTTCTTCTTCTTCCCATGTTTCTTCCAGAGGTACAGCTCAGCTCCCAGGATCAACAGCACAAATGCAATGACTCCAAGGATATCTCGCAGAAGGACAGCCATGCCCAGTACATTTGAACCTGTTCCCCCACATAGAGAGTGAAAAAAGCTAAGGCAGGAAATAACTTGACATACCCATCGCCAAGAGGAGACAGAGGGAGAAAGCAGGTGGAGCAGTGCGAAGGAGCCTAATGCAGAAACTGCAGAGGGAGGAGTATGGCAAGTCCATTCATTCAACCGGTTAGGAGCTGATGCTTGGTGCCAGGAATGCTGAGATGCACAAGATAATGTCCACAGCAGCCCAGCACACAGGAGGGAAGACAGAAAATACCAACTGCCAGATAGAGGGATCACAGCTGCAACAGAGGTTTACACTTTGTACAAGGTCTTCAGGGAGGGCCTCCCAGAGGAGGTGCTGGCTAAACTGAAGCTTGAGGCAGGAGTAGGAGTTTCTCAGATCTTCAGGGTGGGGCATTCCAGGAAGGAGGAGCACCACATTTAGGAAACTGCCATGTCAAAACACCAGCCCTGGGAGTTGCCCGCACCCCACTGCAGCAGGAAAGGAACAGGGCAGGGAGGAGCCATGGCAAGGAGAGTCAGAGGGAGGCAGGAGTCTGTGCCCAGAGGGCCTTGTGGTCATGCTAAGTGCTGAACACTCCAGGATGGAGGACAGGGGAGAAGGTAACGGGTGGTTTAAAGGGATGCTGACACATCAGAGTTCTCCAGCAGCTCCTGGAGGAAAGGTTAGAGAGGCTGTGGCTGCACCAGGGTACCAAGTCATTCATTCATCCAATGAACACCAGTTGTGAGCAAACTTTGCCAGAAGCTGTACTTGGCACAGGGATTCAAAGGAAAACATGATGGTGGCATCTGCCTAAGGACATCGCAGTCTACAGAGCAAAGACATAACCCCACCACTACTACTCAGTGTGGGGTGCCATGGACATTCCCTAAAGGATCGCTGCCTACTTGCAGGACCAGATACATAACTGAAAAGGCCCTATGCAGAATGAAAATAGGAAGCCCTTGTTCAAACTTATTAAGAAAATTGTAAACCACACATGCAGCCTTTACATGGTCTTCACCCCATGAAGAAGAAGTGAAGGACATAGGACTTGCTGATACAGAAAAGCCAGCATGTGCAGACGCTCAGAAGCTTACAATGGCAGGACGCATTCAAGGAACTATGGCAAGCAGTTTGTTGTGAAGAGAGCAGATGAGACTAGCAACGTGGACAGAGGTGCATCTAAGCTCTGAATCATACAGAGAGTGGCTGGAATCAGGTTCTCACAGATGACACAGACAATGGCACAAGCCGTCCTGCTTTTCCCAAAGCCCATTCTGGATGCCCAGTGGAGGATGGATGGGGTGGGAGAGCTCCTGGAAGCCTGCTGTCTTTCCCAACAAGGACATGGTGGGGTTGTGGGGAGGAGGGCATCGGTGGGAGAGATGGTTAAGGGCAGAAGCAAGGTGGATGTGACTCCCACACTGCTATGTGTGGTGAGCAGGGGGAAGGTGGTGCTAATGCACATGGTGGAGAATAGAGCCCAGAACCATTAAACCCCAGTGCTGCCTGAGCTCAGGAAGCCCCTCCTATCCTGCAGGCTACACTCACCCCTCACCTTGACACAGGCTTCCCCAAGGTAAGGTTACATCTCTCTGATCCACCTGGTTGCTGACCACACAGGTGAGACTGCTGTTCCTCTGGCTCAGGGGCAGGTTCACAGCCAGGGTCCAGGAGTCGGGGGCTGGTCCTGGTGTTTCTCTCTGCTCCAGCTCTCCGAGGAGGCCCTTGCTCTCCTAAGTCACATTCAGGTCCTCTGTGGTTCCTGGAGCCGTACACTCCAGGGTGATGTTACGCAAGCCTGGTGTGATAGACAGCGAATTGGCCAGGATCTCAGGATGAGGCACAGGCTCTGGGGAAAAAAAGAGATAGAAGAAAGAAACCTCACATTTGTGGAGAACATTGCACATCACACTTTCTTATCATTTTCTCATTAAAGCCATGGCATGCTCCCTATAGGAAAAGTGGGTGTGGGTGTATTCTACAGATAAAACACAATTTGCTCAAGGTCAAATACTGAGCAAATGATAAGGGAAGCCACTGAGTTCAGCTCCATGTTGGTCCCCTAGATTGAGTAAGTCTTAAAACTGTCCCAAAGAAAATAACAGTTGGACTCCACCCTCCCAGGGACATTTTTTTTTTTTTTTAATTAGGGTCTTTCCAGAGAAGAAAAAGGCTTGGATATAAGGGCTTATTCTAGCCCAGGTTCCTTCACCTCCATCCCCAGCTGAGGCCAAGCTGGGTACCGCACAACCCTTGAGGGACAGGACATCAGGTCAGCTCTGGGAGGCCAGAGAAAGGCCCATGCTCCCAAAAGTGGACATGTCTGTGGGAGCTGCAGTGGTCACAACTGGAAACAATGACTCTGAATGTGGTTAGAAGGTGCCACTTGGTCTGGGAGCTGTGGCTCACACCTGTAATCCCAGCACTTTGGGAGGCCGTGGCGGGCAGATTGCTTGAGCTTAGGAATTTGAGACCAGCTGGACAACATGGTGAAACCCTGTCTCTAGAAAAAATACAAAAATGAACGAGATGTGGTGGCGCTCACCTGTAATCCCAGCTACTTGTGGGGGCAGAGGTGGTATGATCGCTTGAGCCAGAAAGTTGAAGCTGCAATGTGCTGTGTTTATGCCACTGTGTTCCGGTCTTCCAGCCTGGGTGACAAAGTGAGGCCCTGTCTCGAAACCAATAACAACAACAACAAAAGAACATGCTACTGAACCTGTGGTGCAGACAGCAGAGAAGAATCTGATTCACAGGCCAGCCTGAGAAATCACATGGGACCTAAAACTGTGAAGCCACTCTCTCCATGGCAGGATATTCCCCCATGCAGAGAGGAACTTTAGGGAAAGAAAGAGTTGGCTAAATTAGTTTCCTAAGAAGTGTTACAGTGTAAACTTTCTCCTACACTATGGAGGCTTTGAGAGCTAGATTTGTGGTGGCTCGTGTGACTGAGGCTGGCCCTGGGCTGGGGCTGAGTGAGAGAAGAGAGGACTGGGAGGACTCCATTCACAGGGATTCCCAACTGTGGTAGGCAGAATAGTGGCCTCCAAAATGTCCAAGACCCATCCTGGTAACCTGGGAGTGAGTTAGCTGCGAGGTAAGGGGAATGAAGGTCCCAGATAGAATTAAGATTGCTAATCAGCTGACCTTCAAATAGGGAGATGATTCTGAATTCCCAGACACTAACATGAGTATTCTATTAGGAGATACAGGAAGATGGCCATGAGCCATGGGATGCCAGCAGCCACTAGTAGGTGAAAAATGCAAGAAAATGGCTTCTTCCTGGAGCCCCGAGAAAGAACGCAGCTCGCCACCACCTTCACTTTAGCTCATGGAGACTTGTGTCACATCTCTAGCCTACAGCACGGCGAGATATAAATTTGTGTTGCTTTCAGCCAATAATTTTTGGTAGTTTGTTACATCAGCGATAAAAAACTACTACACAAATTAATGTTAATCATATATAGGATGATTAATGCTGGAAAAATTGCTATTTTGCTGAATTTCCATTTCCTCTCCCAAGACACTGAAGAGATTTTCTTTCTGGTGTGAATCTCAGCTCTGCTCTCTATCTCTGAGGACCTCATGTGCTTTGTTTTTAGTAGAGAAAATGGAGTCTGAAGGCCGGTGTCTGAATGGAACCCTGCATGGGACCTATGTGACACTCTAGGGACAAAAAAAGCAGGTAAGCCAGAGGATGGGGGAGGGAGGGGTGTCACTCACCATAGACAGTGAGGTAGAAAACCTGGCCAGATAATTGTCCCCCAGTTAAGTAGATCATGGCCATGTACTGCCCACTGTCTTCAGGGGCCAGGTTCTCAATCCTCAGAGACAACATGCTGGACACATGGACCCTCTGCTTGAACTGGTCCTTAAGGCCAACCCAGGTTGGAGAGTCGGCCCCACTGTGGACTCACAGCACCCGTGTATGATTTGACAGAGTGCCCAAAGCCCACAGTACCTCCTCCAACTCGGCGCCTACATCGACTCTGGACTTCTCAATCGCATTCAACAAGACAGAACCTCCTTGGATCCCCTTCAGATGAATGGGGGCTCCAGAATCCTTCACTGCAGAGCCATGTGCTCCAGAAGTGTTGGCTGCTGTGCTGCAGACACCTAGGGCATGGAAACAGGAAATATATTTCCTCATCAAGAACAAATGAGAGAACCACAGAACTTTTCGTTTTAACAAATTTATCCAATATACTCCCTTGATTTTAGGAATAAAGCTAGTACAACAAAGCTGAAGCAATTCTGAGATCAAGTCCTGGTTCTTGTGGAGTGTAATGTTTAAGTATTTTGTACAATTTTGGTATAAAAATTTGGACACTAAACATAAGTGTTCTGGCCAGACGTGGTGGCTCAGGGCTGAGGCAGGTGGATTTCCTGAGGTCAGGAGTTCAAGACCAGGCTGGCCAACATGGTGAAACCCTATCTCTACTAAAAACACAAAAATTAGCCAGGCATGGTGATGGGCGCCCGTCATCCCAGCTACTCGGGAGGCTGAGGCAGGAGAATCACTTGAACGGGGGAGACGGAGGTTGCAGTGAGCCAAAATAGTGCCACTGCACTCCAGCCTGGGCAACAAGCAAGACTCCATCTCAAAAATAATAATCATAATCATCATAAGTGTTCTATTTAATCTGAAGCTCGAAGAAACAGCCATTTTTTCCACCGGGAGAAATGTGACCATTCATTAGACCTGCTGGGAGATAACACTCCAGTCTCCTGTATGGCACTTTCCTAAGAGATTTTCAGGAATAATTCTGGCCAAAACAGTGTCTTACTTCTTGCAGCATTGCCTGGAACCAGTGAAAAAGAAATTAGTGTTTTCTGCTGAGCAGACAGAAACTGAAAAGGTCTGGCTGATGTTGTATTAGTGGCTTCTAAATGCCACAGCTGCAGCAGGCCTGAGTGAGTGAGTGTTGACCCCCAAGATTCCTCTCAGGAGCAGAGGCAGAGAAAGCAGAGGCTCAGGTGGAGGGGGCTGAGAGAGGAGGAGTCCCTTCCTCCCTTGAGGGCTGAGGAAGTGGCCACAGGGACACCCAGGGTCTTCTCTCTGAAGAAGCCTGAAACGGGCTCACTGGCTGTCAGTGCCTGTCAGGCCACAGGATAGGACAGGACAGGATGGGGAGACAGAGCAGAGACCTTGATAGAGCCACAGGAGTCACCAAATCCCAGAGCCTCACTGCTGAGAGGGGACTCGGGGATGATCTGTCCAAGCTCCTGCTTTTATTACAGAGTAGGGGCTCTCTAGGGGGTAAACCTGTCCTGAGCCACACAGGGCAGAGCCACACCTGGAGCCCACTTTCTTCCCCAGCCCAGGGCCTGCCCTGCAGGATGCTGCCCATGAGCTCTTCCACCCTCCCCTGCCCTCCCCAGAGCTCAGCTGCACTGTCATCTGAGCCCACCAGGACCTGAGCAGCTGCCGGGGTCTCCACCCCAACTGCCCTCTCCTGAAAAGGGGAAGCAGGTACTTTCAGTGGCTGAGCAGAGCAGAGACTTCTAGCTAGCAGAGGGTTAAACAGGCAGCCTGGACAGACCCCACTTCCTGGACGAGGGAACTGGGAACCAGGAAGAGAGGAGGCTCAGCTCCCAGGCTGCCAGGGAGGATCTGCCCCAGAAGGTGGATGATGAGCACAGCTGGGAGAAAGATGAAGATTCAGAGAGGCAAGGAAGGCAGCAGGAGCTCTCTGATCTACAGAAATGCTAATCCTGAAGAAGAAAACACAAGCCAGGAAGCAGGTGGTCATTTACAAGGTGGAGCGAAACATTCATTTAAACTGTATAAAATTTTAAATCCTGTCATCAGCATAAAAGATTGCTCATTTTTATCCAGGCATGATAGTGCACACCTGTAGTCCTAGCTACTTGAGGGGCTGAGGCCGGAGGATCACTTGAGCCCAGGAGGTCAAGGCTGCAGTGAGCCAAGATCACACCACTGCACTCCAGCCTGGGAGACAAAGTGAGGCCCTGCCATCTGTCTGACGTAGCCCCCATCAGCACACTCACAAACCAACAAATCATGTTTGATGCCCAAACTGCACTTCTTGGTGCCATCTCCACAGTCTCATGTCTCTGTCTGGAGCCCCTAATGCAGAGATGCTTCTCCTCCAGCTCCCTGCTGGCAGACGCCGCGTGGGCATTCAGTAAATCTTGTTATTGTTATGGTCAAGGGGTCCCCAGAAGTCAAGAACCACCCTCACCTGTAGCTTCCTGTGTCTCTGGGAAATTACCTGGAGCTGAGCCACCCTCAGACTTCCTCCTTCCCTTCCACACTTCCCCATCCAAACACAAGTCCTGGAAGGGTGTAAGAGTTTAAGAATGAGGAGGACAAATTCCTCATTTCCGCCTGCATCCTCACTGCTTCACCACCCATCCCTCTCCCTGGGTCAAGGGTGAACTGGAACAGGGACTATCCAGAAACCGAAGGAAAAATGCATCCAATTATGGAGCTTCAGGATTCCTGGAAGGACGCAGAGCAATTTCACAATGACGTTCTTTCTACGGACAGCCTCTGACCAAATTCTACTGCCAGGGGTCTTGTCTCATTCAGTATCACCCCACTGGACAACCAATTTCATTCTTTCCCAGTAATTCCCTGAGAGAATCACTTTCTTTGTCTCGACATGGATCTCCTACCCCTAAAATGAGAAATTCTAAGTCCTTTCCTTCTTTCTCTCCCTCCCTTCCTTCCTCCCATTCTTTCTTTATTTTTCTTTGTTTCTTTAGGAATCTTCCAACCCCCATGCCTACAAGGAAAACTCTACACAACTGAACATATTTCCAGATAAATAACATTGTAGAAGTGGAGAACGCCTACATTTCGCTGACTACAGAAGGTTACCTATGTAAAAAGGACGTAAACCCTATTTCTAAGCTCATTGTTCTTTCAAGACATCCTGTTTTACAAATGCTCTCTCATCTGCTCGACTTCATGTAACTCCCTGCAAGTTCAACTACTGGCTGGAATATTAAAACGAAAAAATTATAACCATAAAACTGTCACCAAAATTCATCTTCACTATGTCTTATTTTGTCATTAATTTTGACCTAATTTAATTGTACACACAAACATATAACCTTTCATAGAGTCATGAATGTGGTATACAGCCTATACTAGGACAGTCTTTCTTTCAGTTTCCGTTCTTGCTTAATTCCCTGTGTTCTCTGCTTTCTCTGCCTCCATTTTTCCTGCCCAAATTCATGCTCTGTTGTAGCCCATGTTAGCAATCTGATTCCTTCCACATTGCCAATAGAGTCTTAAAAACATGTGACTGTAAAGACGTAAACCCTTAAATTTTGGAAGCTGCTTTTCCTTTCATAAAGTAAGGATTTCATTGTGTTTCATTTCCTGAACTTGCTGCTAGGATTCCATACCTCATACTTCATAAAAATTTAAAACTCCTTCCAGGAAACTGGACTATTTCTTTTTGTAAGCCTCCATAATATTCCACGGCACAGATACTCCTCAGTTAGGTCAATCATTCTTGAATTGATGGGCACCTCCTCTTTTTTCCAGGGTTTTTCCTTACAACAGTATGTGATAAACATGGTTTCACCTGCGGCCTCCAGGACGTGAGCAGCACTTCAGGGTGGAGGGAAAGGCAACTCTCAGGGATGATAAAGGGATCCTCCTGTGGTATTCATTTTAGGCAAAGATAAATGCTGGTTAATATTTTAAATGAAAACGATTTGGCCAGGGGCGGTGGCTCACGCCTATAATCCCAGCACTTTGGGAGGCTGAGGTGGGCGGATCACGAGGTCAGGAGATCGAGACTATCCTGGCCAACATGGTGAAACCCCGTCTCTACTAAAAATACAAAAAAATATTAGCTGGGTGTGGTGGCGGGCGCCTGTAGTTCCAGCTACTCAGGAGGCTGAGGCAGGAGAATTGCTTGAACCTAGGAGGCAGAGGTTGCAGTGAGCCAAGATCATGCCACTTGTACTTCAGCCTGGTGAGAGAGCAAGACTCCATCTCAAAAAAAAAAAAGAAAAGAAAAGAAAAGAAGACTATTGCAAATTATACAAACAATTTTAAGATAAACCTGAGACCTCCAAGTGTCCTCTCCTTTGTGATGACCTCTGAACCCCAAGCCCAGGCAAGGGAGTTCATATTCACTCTCCTTTTTCAGTGGAGAAGCCCAGGACAGAGGAGTTTCTTCCAGCTCAGACACCAGGGTTCCAGTTCTGCCCCTCCTCCACAGGACAGCTACAGAGTGTCAGGGCACCTCTGAGTTCCTGGCTAGGAGTGTATTGTTCCCACCCTCTCCTCCCCAGGAGACAGGTAGTTTGTCTGTCTCCATCCCTCTTTCCAGGCAGCATCAGGCCGCCCTGCTAATGCAGCAGAAGCAGCCCCACCTCCCTGGTAAAGGTTCCCTCAATACCGCCAAGACTGCCCTAGCTCAGGGTTCCCAGCCTCCTCACCACCAAAAGGACTTTTTGTTATTTCCGTCCTGGGGTTCCAACCAAATATGCTGCATTTGTAAATCATACCAGAGTGGTTTTCTCTTTTTGTTGCCCAAAGACATCGGAACCTGAACAGCCCACCCAGTGGTCAGGCCCAGCTAGCCCAGCCTTACCCAATTGCCCTCCCTTCCCAGGAACCTGCACTCACTGAGGAGGAGACCAGTGAATCCCAGGAGCCCTGAGTCCCAGCAGAGGGACAGGTCCCCAGAGCAGAGCCCCATGGCAGGCTGCCTGCTGCTTGTTCAGCTGCAGAAGAAACACAGGAAGAAATAAAGGCAAGAGGGGAGGACAAGTTTGAGCACAGGAGTCCTTCCCCATTTTAAGGGTGGGGCTAGGAAGTTACTATTGGGGAGACAGCCACCAGTCTAGAAAAAAGCCATTCAGCTCTTGCATCCCCTCCCAGTCCCTACAGTACCCCACACACTCGATAAGTAATTGCAGAAGAAGTAAAAGTACAACCTCACTCTGTGATGTTCCT